TAATTAATAGACCATAATTATAAATACTATAGTGTTTCGTTGAGGAATTAATCATTCACGTAGTTTCATTTAAAAATGAAAACACGACACACTCATTTATCATCACACATGGGCATAAATACAATCATAAAGTCAAAACTTTATTGAATTAATTGTCAGGCGTTTACAGTAAGCTATTTGCAAAATATATGGTAGCATAATATTACTAGCATAATTATACAGAACGTTAATTGGGTAAAACGATACACGAATTGAAAGGGGAAATAAGCATATATAAGAATAAATATAAAAATATAGCCCTAACCAGTTAATGTAATAATATTATTATAATATTATTATATTGCAGTTATACAAGAATTATTATTATTATTATTATAAAATACAAATATTAACTAAAAAGACACGATCAGTTAACGGATTTACAAGACTGCGGGATGGAGAAAAATGTTTTATCCATTTTTTATAATCCCAGGTTGCTATGGTCACGCGGGGTTGTTTACGCATTAAACTCGTAACCCAGGTTGCTATGGTCACGGTTGGTTGTTTACGCATTAAACTCGTAAACATAAGAATGTCGTTAATCTCGTGGCCGCGACAAAACCGAACATGTCCCCTCCCGCTCACCGTAGATATGTAATTTTATCTTCCATCCGTAATTATTTAATTTCATTAAATAAACAATATAAATACGATTGTCAGACAGTCTGTCTGAATATACAAAAGACATGACATATTTAATGGTGATTTTCTTCATCATAGTTTATTTTAAGATCATAAGGAATTAGGATGAATATATTATTATGAACAAAACAATTAAACAGACTGCCTGTTTCATAAGATTGATAGTGATGTTTGTAAACACCAGCATAAGTATGTTATTACTTGGTGATGTTTGTAAACACCAGCATAAGTATGTTATTGCTTGAGTGAGAATTATGAAAGAGAGTGATGAAATAACAGGCTGATGTTTGGAGCAGTTTACCTGAACAGACGACACCAGCATCTTGATTATGTTTACAGTGCTGTGCTTCCTCGCTGTCTGACCTGCAGTCTTTCAGTGCAGTCTCTGATCCACTACATTCTACATAAGCCATTGAAATTGGTCCTGATCCTTGTCCAAAGTGAGCATCATATGTTGCTTTTACAGCCGTCCCACAGTCCAGCTCTCTACACAC